AAAAACGGCTCGAATTTTTGAAGGAAGAGCTTTCTGATTAAAACCTCTTACGCTTTGTATTACCACTAGGTAGGCAATCGATACATGTGGGTTGGATTGGAAAAGGAGGGTTACACCTGAGAAGGTTCTCTCGTAAGTAGGATAACAAAAAGAAATTACACGAAAATTACTTCAGAGACACTGGATAGCCGAGAAAGATCTCACTATTATATAGAATGTAGAACGATATCAATGTGTTTGCCGTAACAGTGGATAAAATCTTTTCTGAATGATGCTCGATGTGACTGGCTACCTGTTTTTTTTATCACGTAAAAAGAAGTTATTAACGTAGATATTTATTGAGCTAATCTACAGTGCATTATTGTCGAAAAACAACCCAGTGTTCTTGGTTATCTTTTGAATAGCTCTTGTTTGTTTTCCAAAATAAATTCAAAAATGATGAAAAGAGAGCTTCATGAAACTTGGGCTTTCCAGACTGTTTTCACCTAATAAAATATCAGAACGAGTTGAAAACTGCAGAATATAGTTACTTTGTTTGTCGATTATGTTGTTGCACCATTATACGATCGAAAAAAGTGGAAAACTATATTTTTCAAAAGTTTTCTCGAAAACTCTTTCGAAAACCAGGGAATTTTATAATTTCTTTTGTAGATTTCTTATAAAAAGGTTACAAAATAGTCAAAATACTGTAAATTCCGAAGTTTTCAACTCATTCACGCGAAGTCAAAATTACCCTAAGCCACCAAGTGCCAGTTCTAGGCTCAAAGAAAATCCGATAGCATGCCGAAAACACATCGGTTTTGAAGAGAATACTTTGAACTACCTACTCATGAAAAAGACGACAATATTCGCACATGAAGTTTTTCAATATAAACAATATATAATAATATAGAAAAAGTGTCAGACAATTAATGAACACCATTATCAAAATTGATGTTATGAATTTCTGAATCCATGTCTGCTACAAAAAATATGTCTTAAAGTCTCCACTTTTGAATAGTGACAACCCGAACTCTCTAGTTCTTTTCATTCTCGTGTTATTCAAAAGATAACCAACCACACAGCTTTTTTTCCTCGACAATAGTACTATAACTTCATAACTAAAAGTGTTATATTTCTTGAAGCATTACTGAAAAATGATCTGGATTATACTCAAAAAGTGGAACTATTAGAACGTTATGGTATGGAAACGTACGTATTAATGCTTAAAAAAATCTATCGTTTATCGCGATTATATGTTACGTTATTGTTAAAGGAACCAAAAGCTTCAATTATTAATTCAAGATGAAATGCAAGATGAAAATTATTCAGAAAACGAACGTGAAACACAAATGAAATCAAAACAATTATATAAAATTACTTCTAAACCAAAAAAGGAAAATTTTACAAACGATTCATTGGATGAAGCTGAATCAGAAGAAAATGAACCACCTATTCCTTCACAAAAAGGTAAATAACTTCTGAAATAAATTTATACGTGTGTGAATATGTCGCAGTGAACAAAATATGATGTGTTTGGGAGCACATTGAATGCTTAAAATATTTACATTGAAGGCTTATGATACTGAAGAATTTAAAACCTTAGATTGATTTTTGTCTATACTTTCTCCTGCTAAAAGTCTATATGAGCACATATATCTTATCTTTATCTTGCTTCATTTTTCTGTACAACTAACTCTGTTTCCTATATACGTTTTCTAGCACCAGCTACACAAACAAAATTTGTTACACAAGGTGGTATTTGGTAATGAAACATTGGTAATTAAAAAGAAGTACAGTATTTTTCCAAATTTCAGTTTTGATTCGACTTTATAAGCAACAAAATAACTAACTGACACTCTAGCTTTAGTATACATACAGAAAAAGACGCTCGTGTAACCTCAGATTTTGACTTTTTCAAAAAACATTTTTACTGAAGGATAGCTGATGTTGGCTGATTCCGAATATGTACTTACATTTGAGTAGAAGTTGAATTTGGCATGACAAAATCGAGCGTTTCCGAAATTACTCGAAGTTTAGCCATATTTTTTCATCTAACTTTACTCCATAAGGAAAACACTTAGGACGAAATTCTTTTCCTTATTAAATTCACCATCGTTCATAGTATATAATGCTATTAAAATGAGAGAAAAGTGAACTTACGATTTTTCGCCAAATTTCCGCCTAGAAGCACACTGTGACTCGAGTGAAAGTTTTAGCGCGTTCAAAAAATAATAGTAAACCAGTTGGTACGTGCTAGAACGAGTTAGACATCTTTTGAACGTGAGTGAATCCGTTTCTTTTCACATTTACAAATTCTGAATTGGAAAAGTGTTAAGTTCATTATCACGAACTGGTTCGAAGCCGTCAGATATTTTTCAACTTACTTTCCCAACTCTATTTTCTTCATTTAGCTTCTATTGAATAGAAACTGAGATTCATGAAGCGAGGTCTGTTGAATGCGCCTGCCTGCTCGACTAACCGCTTCTTATAAGAGAAAAAACTTCAGATTTTGCCAAAGTTGCAATATCCACTTACACGCGAAGCACGATACGTTGAAGGTATGTACATATCCCGAGTTTTTTGAAACTATATCTTACTTGTAAAAGCTCGTAGATTAAAAAACGAAAACCGTGCAAGAAAACACTTAATCATCTTCCTAAACATCACGTTCAACTTTGAAAAAAATCAAATGTATTCGAAAATAAAACATACTTTACACATAAAGTTCTATATATACTCAAAATTCACCAATATCACACACCGTGTAAGACTAGATGGCACGATGTTTCAGCGGATAGCATCATATTACAATTTGATTACAATTTGACTAAACATAGCTCTTATTTTTCTACAACGTAGAACTATGAATCAATTTTCTATTCTAGGAATGCCACATTGTCGCATGCTTATAACCAAATCAGGCATGGGCGAGTGCCAGTCCGGACTGAAAGATTTTTTAGCGGACTCGGACTTGGACTCGGACTGGAGATTTTGTATTTCGAGTCCGATCTATTCAACTTTCAACACAAATGAGCAGAGAAAAATGAAAAGCGAAATAATAACACCTTCTGTTTCACAAGAAATTGAAAATTTTATTCAGGAAATAGACATGCAAAGTAATCTTATTTTCGACAAATCAAATATCTATCCAGGGCTCAGTAAATTATAAAAGAGAAATAAACCACACCCATCAAAGAAAGAATCTAAAAAATTACCGGACTC